ATATATATATATATATGACATCACTTTTTATTTATACAGTGGCAAAATTTGGTTAATAGGTTTCTTTTTAACATGGAGGCTAACTAAGCCTGACTTTCAGTGTTTTTGTGTGGTTGTGTTTAGGGCTGCTGTGTTTAATTCCACATTCATCTTTTAACATTGTCACTTTACAAGGAAAAGGCGTTAAACTGCAAAGTCAAATGTTGTTTTTTAACGTTTTATGAGATATATACAGCATTTTTATAATAACTCAAGGTAGCATAGGTACATGCTTGTGCTATAAAATAGCCCTACGTGCCTGGAGAGTACATAATACTGCCCCTTTAAGCTTCTATATCTAATCTGATATACAGTAGAACTAATGGTTGTCTGACTCACAGTGCACACAGCTGAATTACATAGAGCAGGTGCTGCTAAACCACAATAGATTTGATTATGGCACTAAGAGATTTGCTGGATTAAAAGCTTCTTCTTTGACATTGAAGCTGCTTCAGTTTTTAAATTAGGGATTTTATGTTCCGATTTCTTACTTTGTTCCCTCCTCTGCAACAGCTTCAGGCTCGAGCTTTCCCTCCTCTTCCATCTTTTCCTCTGAAATCAGTTCTTGCTTCCGATGTCGGCGGAGACATTTCACCACCACCATTGAAAGGATCAGCAGAGCTAAAGCTCCCCCCACTGATGCCCCAATGGCAACAGCAATGGTTGAATCTCTCGGAGGGGGAACTGAGAGAAGGAGAGAGGAGAGAGTTAACTTTTCCTGCAGACAAAGAATGGAGTCGAGTGCGGCGCTCGCTAAAAGCTCTGATTAAACAAGTGGAAAGAAAGTGCTGCTGAGCTAGCCTGTATATGATGTGGGCTTGTGTGTGTGTGGAAGAGCAGGAGTGATGCACGAAGTTCAACCTCGTGTTAGTCATTAATAAGTAAGACGCTGACTCATCACAAATAGATCTCAACACTCCCAAGAAAACAGACATTTAGACACTAACGTTACTTGAATTACATGTATACGCATGAAAATTATTACGTCATGAAAAATGTAAAGTAATGTTTTGTACCCGTCTGCAGCTGTTTGGTCAAATGCGACCAAGTTTGAAAGGTCGCATTTGAAAACCTGCAGTCCAATGGAAAAGCATTGGTTCCTTAATGATTTCGTCAGCTTTTGCTTTCTATCATAATTAAATGTTTTGATTATCAAAAAAATGCCTTAAGACATAATCAATATGCATATGGTAATTTCTATTTAAAAAAAAAAATCCAAACCAAGCTGATCCTGTGTTAAATAACAATTGTCACATTTTCCTAAATGGACAACCTATATTGCAATGTACAAACATTTATTGCATGAACCACAAAAACATGTCCTGCAGAGCCATAGTTTATAACCGAGGTGTTCAGATGAACAAAGTTAGAGGACTAAAGGTGATATGTGAAAACAAAATTCATTTTAGAAATGAATTTTAAGAGTATTTTTTCCTCTAATTATTACACACAGTCACCATACATGGATAAAAACCATAGAGTGAGGCAAGATGCTTTTTCTTGTCACTTAGGCTCAGTAAGTGTCTGCATCAAGCGGTGATAGTTGGAGATGTAAACCACTGCCCATGTTGTTTTATGTCATTAGCTGAAAAGTATGGAAACGGTTGCACGGGGTTATGCTTCATGTATTTGCAGAAGAGTGTTACGTCACATCTTACGTTCTGTGACAACTTTGAAGTCAATGACACCATGTCCTTGGATGCGATCCGGGGGGTTCCTCACATAACAGTTGTAAATCCCCTCGTCCTCCAGTTGAACGTCCTGCAGCGTGATCGATAAGTCGTTCTTCTCCAGGTTACCAGAAAACACAACCCTCTCTCCAAACCGGTTTGAAGGTACTGGTTGCATTCCTTTATTCTTGTCATAAGTCATGAACTAAAGGAAAAGAAAGTGTGGCTTAAATACAGGTTTAAGCTTTGAAGGCGAGTATTCTTGGTATTAATGTATTGAAGGGTTTGGCAGCTCACCTTTTCCTCTGTATTGTTCAGGGTCTCTTGGTAAGTCCAATTCATAGCAAACTTGGTCCGGTCAATCTTGTAGCAGGAAGTGAAGGTGCAGGGGATTGTGACAGTTGTTCCATTGAGTGCATTGATGTAACTGGACACTAGCACATCCATGCTCGAACAACCTGTTTTAAAAACAAATAACGTTGATGATTCAAATAAGATTAAAACAGCTAACTAGCTAAATGTGAAATAAATCGCAAGAATTATATCCTGGTTCTTGCTGCCAATACTAATTTGGCCTTTTTAAAAATGCAGATTTTGATTTGAAGCCCAGAGTTCAGCCGTCGTAACATAAAGCTTATGTTGAGTTGGGCGTAGTTGGCCAGTTCTGCAGAACAGTGAATTTGCAGGATACTCCCCGTCAGCCATCAGGCGCGAGGCGCAGAGATGGATGGCAGACAGGCCCACAAATGCACTCAGATGAAAGCGGAGTATGTTGGAAGTCAGAATGTACAGAACATGCAGTACAAGTTTATTGCAGAAAAAAAACAAAAAAACTTTGTCAATATTTTTATTTTTACCTAACTTAAATTTAAAAAAGAATGACTGACTGTCTTTGGTGCTTTTTCACAAGGTAGCAAAAGTGAAGTAATTGTTTTCTTCTTTTTACTCTTCAGACACAAGGAATGGTCGAGCATAGGTGGTAAGTAGGGACACATTTTATTTTTTTGTCACATCATCATGAGGCAAGTGTTAAATATCCTATTAACCAGGACAAGATGAAGAGATTAGATAGACATGATCTGTGTGGATCTTAACACATATTGTGCGGATGGTTCATCCTTCTGAACAAATATACAAATGCAAAATCGCCTCTGGGGATTAACAAACTTCCCAATTTAAGCGTTCAGGAGAGCCCCAAGCACACTCGAACTGAAACAAAGATGTGTTTAACATCATGTCGTTTAATATGCATATCGTTATTTATTAAGTAATGATATCCAAGATATTTTACGTGACCCAAACCTCTGCATGCCAATTCAAGATTACCTGTGATAACAGAAGTAATGACTAACAGTACATGAGATTATTATTAGTTGTACAAGTTTGTTCTTCTATTGAAAGCCTTTTGTCTCATCACAGACCTCCTCGCCACCCCCACCTCACTCCAGCCCATGTTCTCTCAGCTGTGTTGTTTGTGTGCGATGGGACTCTGCACCAATCTCTCCTCTGCAGTCGAGTGTTTCTGGCTCCCTTCCCACAGCTGCTGCACCACTCATAAGCCTGCATCTCTGCACCACACAGTCAGACTACCACCCCTCCTTTCTCCACCTACTCGAAGTATGCATAGTTTACACATGCACACATATTCATACGTGATGGGTCAGGGCCATTACCTACTTTAGAGGACTCTAACACATAAACACACATGCATGCGGTTCACCCTCTAGGTCTGCATCATCAGCAGTGAGCTCGCCTCTCTAAATGTGCTATGTCAATGTCATCTTTGCAAACAAGCCCACATGTACACACACCTCACATTAAAGCAAACACCTCTGAAGTGCTGCAAACATATGTGCCCTTGGTACAGTCAGTTTAGCTCAGCTATACAGCATGAGAAACCTTTCGGTTCAGACTCCTGCTGATTCAGCAGTCATGTGGCTAGTAAAAAAAAAAAGGGAGGCAAATGCAGAGACTTCCTAACATGAAATACTGCAGTGAGGCCCCCCGCATGTGGCTCCTCCCTCCCTCTGCCTCTCCCTTTTCACTCTCCCCATCTTTGTCCACCTTCCTTTCCTCGTCTCACCTCCATCCTGAAAGCTTTCTAAAGCCCTCAGCCCTCACACTCCATTAGCATCTGAACTTTAAAGAACTCCCTACATTTCTTTAGCTTATGCATTTCTAAAATGTTCAGACGTCTGTAACACGTTGTTTTTTTTACCCTTTCACGGCAGGATTTTCATAGCAAACGATTTTTTGTTTCATTTGAGAGAGCATATTTTGAGTTGGTTCTTCTTTATGCATCATAATTGGAAAAGGTCAAAAAAAGACTGTCTGGACCTTGTGGTACAAGGGCACAGGACCGTAAATGAAGTGGGAAGCAGGAAACTGCTACTCAACAACAGTTTTACTTCCACTCAACTTATATTAGCTCAGTCATTTGAAGTGATGTTCACTTCCAATGAAATTCACAGACCTCTGTATGCTTCAAATTATGAAGAGGGTTAACATTTTCTAAATAGCCTTTTTGAAGCCAGTTCAGTCTGGTGCTTACAGTTGAAACTGAAAGGGTACATACACCAAATGAAAAGACACATAAACCTTTTTTTTTCTCCTTCATTTTATGAAATTAAATCACCCCAAACTTTTCTTGTTTTAGGTAAGTTAGAATTATCAAAACTATTTAGATTTGCTAAATGCCACAATGATGAGAGAATGACTCATTCTCAGAGGTTTGTATTTTCACGCTTTCAAAATCAGAAGTTTGCATCCAGAATGATGTCTATATTTTTAAGCAATCAATTGAGGACGTCATGGCTTTGAAAGTTAACTAATAAAATGGAGGGATAGCTCTGAATGTCTTTTGAAGTCACATCTCAAACAAACTGCTTTCTAGCTTGACGTAGTAGGAAATTGAAAAGAACTCAAACAACAAGATGAAGAAGAAAACTGTGGAGCTGAACTAGTCTGGAACAATTTCTAGACGATCGATGATTCATCTGTTCAAACAATTATATGCAACGATAGACATGATCAGGATGTCCATTCCGCACATAATATTGCTCCATAAGGAGTCACCTCTGGGACACCTCAGTGTCCCAGAGGTGAATGTGGTTTAGACTGAAATATGCAAATCAACCCCAGAAGAAAAGTCAAAGACCTTGTTCTGAAGCTGATGAGACGGCGCCATTATCCACAGTGAAATGTGTCCCTTCCTGACATGGCCTGAAACACCACTAGGCAAGGAAGAACACATTACTCCAAAAGAAAGACTGTAATTGGATGCATTTACATTCGTTTTTCTAAATGTTCATTAATCCACAACATTCTACTCCAGCAAATAAAGTAAAGGGAAATTAAAGCTTAGCTAAATGCATATTCTCGCTCGCATAAAAACCAGAGAAGTTTGGTCATAGTTAACTTCAGACAGTGGGAAAAGAAGGTGATTGTGTCTTTTTATTTGGTGTAAGCAATCTTGTGGTTTTAACTGTACATGTATTTAGCTGTTGATGTTTTCTGTCAGAATTGACGCGGAAAAGAGGTTTGAACACAACCTGCAGGTGTCACGCCTCTGAAGTGATGACCAACAGTCTGGCTGGCATATTTGAAGCAAATATAGTGCTTCAAATTGGTGCGTCATCACTTTGTGACATTTGCAGATGCTGGACAGGTTGCGGTAAAGTATGCAGAGGCAGAACAGGTCGCTCCACCTCTGTAAACCGTATTTTCATCAGTAGCAGTGACATTTGAGGACAGCACAAAACTATTCTGATGAAATACGCACCCATTGTGTTTAATTCTTTAGTACTCAAGTTGTCTGACATAATTTAAGTGTAACATCCTTCTTTTATTTACCGAAAGTTGTTTTTATAATTTTTTTTTCCATAGTTTAAATATTACTTGTTGTCCCGCATTGCACTAGAAGACTAGGAGTTTAAAACAAGCCACTCCTTAAGTTCACAATAAACATTTTTACCAGTGTTTGATTCGGTTTTTTAGCCTTTTAAAATAGACTGCCAGATCACACAAGAAGATATCAAAAATATGCAAGGCTTGTGTTCCTGTATATATGCCTATATGTCTCTGACCACTACAGAGTCACATATGAGCTTTGGAGCGAGTAGATAATTCAACAGACAATGTCAATTATTTAAATCCAGGCAATTAGGGGTGGTGAGGAACTGAGAGCTTTCGCCTAACACCAAAAAATACTCAAATCTCATCTGTGCTGGCCTTGCTGTACATATAAAACTGGGCTATAAAACAGTAACAACATCTTTTGTGACAGACACTTGATCAAAAGTAGTGAATTTTTATAACTTCACTGAATTCCGATCAAGAACCGCACAGCATTCTGGGGGATATTAAATATTAATACAAAAAGTGCAGGTAAGGTATGCATCACACTGCATGTTACCACAGTGTTGGGGAGGCAACAGCGAAGGCACAAACAAGGCCTCATTTTCATGCTGACCTTGTTTTTACCGTGTCAATAGCAGCTAAACAGAATTTGTTTAGAGCAATAAGAAGTTTCTGCCTAAGGCACCTCATGTCCCCTTAAGTATATTATGCATTATTGGCAACCATGTCTGCTGGTGCTATAGTCATATATTCTGGATATAAAAGGGTGCACTTTACAACAATACAGCGAAAAACGTTCAAACAAGCAGCAAAGGAGCATGCCTTTGTGTGTAGAACAATGTAATGTCATTCTGTTTGCATGGTGTTTATGTTGCTTTTTAAAAATGTGATATGAATAACTACATGAAGCAAATTCTTTGTTTTGTTTTTAAATACATCTCCACAAGAGACACCATGTACTTCCTGCATCATGCAAAAACCCCTCTCTGCTGTAGACATCTTTCAACTGTCCTCTAATTTCCAATTTCAGGTATAAGTCCCTATGTCCTGCTAAAAATAAATGGCTATGATGAAGAGCAACTACAAAAATACTTGTATGACTTTTGAAAAGTGCATAGTTCCCAACAATATGAAAATATGTTGAGTGACTTGCTGTTATGAATAGTTATTGACTGTGCCAATGTCTTTGTGCTGCTGCCCTCTAGTGCATTGTCTGAGGAACTGTGACTCTGCAGTTGCTAAGCAAAGTTTAGATGATGACCATGAAAAACAAATTCATCGAACAGTTTTGCCATCAGCCACTTTGATTTCTGACCGCAGGCAATACTAAAACTTTGGTGTTGTTTGAATTATGTTATTGAAATGCCTAGACTGAAGTATGAAGAAATACCCTGAAAAATTAAAGTGATGTGTTCATTCACTGAAAATGAATAAACATGGGGTTGCTTGTTGAATGATAGCTGCCTTCGGTTGTGCACCAGGCTGTAAACTCACTAGGTATTCCTTAAAACATTAGAATTAATTGCCTAACTGCATTGTTTTCTTCAGCTAAATTATGTTACCCAAAGCAGAGTAAAAGTAATAAATTTAGAAGCGTTTTAAAAGCGCTCAAGCACTTCAGGACAAGCAGAATAACAGGAAACACAAATTAAAACACTAAACATAAACAGTTGCACAGGAACAGGCAATCACAGTGAGCAATCAATCTGAGACAGGTTTGAGTTTTGATTTGAACAGAGTGTCAATATTGTCCGGAGAGAGAGAATTCCAGAATTTGGGAGCCGAGCTTTGCTGCTCCCGATGGTGCTGAGTCGAGCAGAAGGAAGAGCAAAATGAATAGAGAAGGAAGCCCTAAAGCTGTACAAATATCAATGAGATCTGAAAAGTAGGGAGGGGCAAGGTTATGGTGAATAACCTTGGATGCATACAGGAAATTGTTGAAATGTATTCTGAATTTGACAAAAAGCCAGAGGAGCTGCTGCAAGACTGAGGCCATGTAGTGAAAAGAGGGAGTTTTATGAATGATGAGTGCTGTTGAGGGTAACACCCAGACTTTTAGTCTCAGGTGACGGGAGAATGTAGCCACTATCTAGTGGAAAGGTAGGAACTGTCAACTTTGGATATTACAGATTTGATTCAGACAAGGAGGATCTCAGTTTTTAGTTTAAGGAAGTTGGAGAAGAACCAGGATTGCATTTGAGAAAAGCAGGTTAGGGAAGAGAGTGGAAGTGTGGCATTTGGCTTTACATGTAAGAGGGAGCTGGTATCTACCACAATGGGAGATATTCGTATTCTAATATTTTCTGGAAGCTTAACATTTATTTCACTGTTATGCAGAATTGCCAAAAGGAAAAATGACAAAAAGTTTAGTGTTCCCAGGACAGAGCCCTGGGGCACACCGGTTGGGACAGGGGAAGGATGGGAACAAAAGAACTTCAGTTGCAAGGAGTGCAGCTGGACAGGTAGGAATAAAACTAGTCAACGAACGTGCAAGCAATGCCAATTGAAAATAATCTGTGGAGAAGGATGGCGTGAGAAACTGTATCCAAGGTCACACTCAGATCCAGGAAAATGATAGTAGAAAGTCGACCACAGCTGCCAGCAGGAGATTGTTGATTTTTATGAGGGCAGTTTCAGTATGGGAGTCGGAAACCAGACTTGAAATGTTCATAAATGTAAGTGTATATACTGTAGGTAAGCCAAAGCCAAGGTTTCCCCCAGTGTATTAAAAGCCTGGTGGGCTGCCAGGCTTGTAATTCAAGTAAAAAAAAAAAAAAAAAGATCTTTTTAACATAAATTTTCAGAATGCGTGAGTTGTGGCATATTGGTATCACAGTGAGCATGTTTTTTTTTAGGGATCATCTTTGCAGGAAACAATGACGTTCTCTTTGGAGGCAAACACAGGTGGAAGGACAGATTTCTCCATATCCACCACAGCAATCTCTTTTATGGAACATCTCTTACCACTGGATTATATAAAAAGTGAGAAGTTGGATTTAAGGGGATAAATAAGTCTGAGCGATTAGAATACAACATGCATTATGTGGGCAGGAAGTAAGTCAAGGAACATGAGACCTGTAGTAGTTACAGGGTATAAAGTTTGTCAAGTTAGAAAATACTTTCCTTAACAGAGGGTTTCATGTTTTCTCCTATTTCTGCCATGAAAGTCATAAAATTGACTTTCATGGCAACAATGAAATCTGCTGAAGATGGCAGCCCTGATGTCAATCAGGAAGTTAAGGATCAGACTGAACAGGGAAGTCAGTAATAAGCTCTAGTGGAAAAGAAACCTGTCAAACTGCTCAAAGTGGCGGCAGCAAGCATAGGAAAATGAAAAAATGTAAGAGTGGAGACTTGCAATCTGCCTAATGCAAACTAACTGACATTAAGTCGATCTAAAGGATTTAATGTTGATTTCTCTAATTTTCATCTATTGCCTCTGTGCAAACAGAGTGGTCATTGAGTGGTCATTTTGTGCTTAGTAGGCAATGGTCTTATCTACTTGGGCTCCCTAGCAAAATCTGTGTGTGGCCCCACTCAGCCATGGTCTGGCCCTGGCTAAACATACAGAGTAATAACACACAGCAAGTGTGTTGTTGCCTTGCTTCATCCCATTGTACGTTTCTATGCATCAGCACTGGATTCATATCCAGTTATGTTAGAAAACAACAATTACACAGGTATGTTTTTCCATGCTGTGCGTCACAATTGCATTTAAACGCGGTGAAACTGCAAGACTAAACAAAGACGTGATTTAATGCATACGGACCTTGATCAGGGTCAGAAATTAGCTCAGTTGAGTAATGGAGGGGAAAGTGGGTTTTAATGTTTGGCTTTATCGGTGAATTAAATAAATAAAAAAAATGGCTTCATTCGGTTACACTGTCTTATGTTGCATCTACTCCCACCCCATCCATCTATCCATCTGTTGTCTCCACATAGCCTTCCGATGAAACACACACTCAAATATCAATGGTTAAAAAAAACAAACACACACACACACACAAAAACAAAACAATGATCACGCCATCGTATTGACTGATTGATCCGCGAATTATAGGCGTCGGGATGTGAAATGCTTTGGCTGTTTTTGCGTCTTACCAGAGAGCGAGAGCAGCAGCAGCAGCGCGCTCACCAGCTGAACGCCAGACCTCATCTCCTGCTCCGACGAAGACATTTTATTATCCTTCCCCTTTATGTCCGGTTATGTGATTAGAAAAATTAAAAAAAACTAGATATGCCCCCCCGAGACTGATCTTGGTATGCGCGTTTAAATGCTAAAAAAAAATAAAATAAAATAAAATAAATACAAACCCAAAACAGTAATTTATTTTTCGAGGCAGAACATGGCTGGCAGTGTCTGTAGCCTTGTAACGGTTGATCTTATGGTTGTCGGTCCGTCACCTGATGGAGAACAGAAACGAGAGCAGATGTTAAGATGGAGAATGTCTCCTCCTCCTGGACGGTTGGAGATACATATTTTTTGGGAGAAATTGTGTGCTTCTACGCCACACAACTCAAAATATGAAATTAAATTATGTTATTGTAATCTTATGTTTTTCCCTGGACTTTTCTGGAACGCGGTGTGACAGAATGCTTCTGCTCTTTAAGCAGAAATTGAAATTTTCTTCACAGGAAAACCAAAATAATTAATTAAATGTCACATGATAATATTTTGCCCTTTAATAATATTTACGTTTTATTCTGACATCCTAGATGCAACAGCATGGTGGCTGCCTTACAAATTTTGAACAGACATGCTTAACAGAACAAAATATTTTTCTGAGGGATTTTTTTTTTTTTTTTTTTTGTGGCAAACATAGTGAGTTTTCACATTACACAATACAGAAGAAGAGCATAATAAAATGGCACACATCTGTGGATATGCTTTGAAATATATCCACAGATGTTCTCCAATTAACATTAATTATGAATGAACGGATCAGACGCATAAAATCAATGACATCATAAAAATGTCAAAATGTCACTTTCAGAATATCAGAGTTCAGCAAAGTCGTACAGTTGAAGAGGTGCGTAGACTGGGAAAAATCCATACCGAAAAAAGGATTATGTAAAAAACAACAACAGCAACAAGGATGTTTAGCATTGTGCCTCTTTTGGCAGCAACTCACTGCTTAGCAGAAGCAGTCTGACATGCCGTGAAACACGAAATTAAACAGAGCCCATCCCCAAACTTTAATCCTTTCCATACTTCCTGGATGACAGACAGAAGTATAAAATTTAATTTTGTGGTGTAGCCAATATGTGGTTTCATGTGGTACATGTCTTCCCTACTTCATCAACCATTATTCTCTACCGTTATTCTTTGCAGTGTGTGCAAAACTGTAGTCAGATGGAACACACAAAATTCATGTTTCGGTGGTTTTACATTTAATTAGCAGCACTAAACAGGCTCTGAAAAGGCTTTTAAATTCACAAGGAGTTGAGTACGATTTGGGAATAGTGGTAAAGACTTTGGTCAGTGCAGAAAAAATAAAATATTCAAAGATATGCTTGAGCTCAAAAACTAGAGTTATCCTGATGCCATGTTTTTAACAGGGTGACATTGTTTGTTCCACTTATATATATAAAAAAAGAAAAATCCCTTCTCACCCTCCGCGGGTGGTCTCTCTCTCTTTCATCCTCTGAGCTCGGGTCCTCTACCAGAGGCCTGGGAGCTTAAGGGTTCCTCCAGTATATCTTGGCTGTGCCTAGAACTGCACATTTCTGGACTGAGATGTCTGATGTTCCTGGGATCTGTTTGAGCCACTGCTCCAGTTTGGGGGTGACTGCCCTGAGGGCCCCGATGATCACAGGCACCACTGTGGTCTTCACCTTCCAGGTCTTTTCCAGTTCCTCTCTGAGGCCCTGGTATTTCTCCAGTTTCTCCTTTTTCCTGATGTTGTGGTCACTTGGTATTGCTACATCCACCACAACGGCTTTCCTCTGTTCTTTGTCCACCACCACAATGTCCGGTTGTCTCGCCATTACCATCTTGTCTGTCTGGATCTGGAAGTCCCACAGGATCTTAGCTCGGTTGTTCTCCACCACCTTTGGGGGTGTTCCCCACTTCGATCTCGGGGCTTCCAGTCCATATTCTGCACAGATGTTCCTGTACACTATGCCCGCCACTTGGTTATGTCGTTCCATGTACGCTTTCCCTTCTAGCATCTTGCACCCTGCTGTTATGTGCTGGACTGTCTCAGAGGCCTCCTTGCACAAAATAATGCTTTCAAGCCTTCTTCCTGGAGAGTATAGCCATAAGTGGAGTCCATCTAAATAATCTATAAACTATGAACACTTTTAAGAGCCATTGTGATTCAGCAGATGTTGAGACTGGCTCTCATACATACGCAGTGTTTCATTAATGATTTCTGGTTTTTGTTTCCAAGATGTCGGCTTGTTAGAAAGCATGTGGATGAATCAGTCTCCTGAGCCTGCTAAAGTTAACTCTGAAGTAACAAAGAGATGGGAGTTTCTCCTCTTTACTGTCCCACAGTGGGGAAATGCAGGCGTTAAAGCAGCAAAGGGGCAGGACGTTGTGGCATGTACGTTTACACAAATTCAAAAGTATGACAAATATATAATTCAAAATCAAGAATATGTAGTTGCGAAAATTATAATACTCTGATCCAAGGAATGTGCAACTTGACTAGGATATATTTTTTTAAAAATTACAAAATGTGCATATGTAATTGTGCATTGTGTTGAGAATAAATAATTCTGTGCTTTCCTTTGGTCTCTTTTAACTAGTTGCAAAGCTAAAGCTAAAGGAAATGACATGTTAAGAAAACGCCCTCAAAGCTACGGTTAGAGGATCTGACACACTAGCGAACGCCCTCTTTAGGGCGTAGCTCAGGCAAAGGCCAACAAAGAGAATGAAAAACTTTTGTTTGATGCCATTTTGTTCTGCTAGTCCTTAAGGATAACATGAACTATGGACCAGCTGTATTTTGGTATTAATAAATTGAATTCCTGAATTCAACTCACTGACTCTTCTTCAACCTCATACATCAAGAACTTAGCATGGAGAAGGATAATTCTCCACAACTGAAGACAATAGAGTTTTTTTTTTTTTTTTTTTTTTAAATAAATGAAAATAAAAAACAACAACTTTGCAAGCAAAAATTTTGCAAATATCAGCAGAAATGTTATTTGAAATGAGTAAAACTGTGCAAATTCCAGCAGGCATGTGAACACATATAGAGTTCGTTCAGAGCAGTAATGGTTATAGAGTCTAATAGCTGCTGGGAGGAAGGATTTCCTATATGTGCATTTAGGATGCAGCAGTCTGGTACTGAAAGAGCTTTCCAGCTCAGCAACAGCTTCATGGCTGGGAGACATTGTTCCTCAATGTTGTTATTTTAGCCAGAGTCCTTCTGTCCTCCGCCACCTGCACTGGGTCAGGGGTGCACTTGGTACAGAGCTGGCCTTCCTGATGAGCTCACCTCACCTGTAGATGAGCTGCTGCTCCAACAGTCTACACACCATAGAATATGGCTGATGCCACCTCAAAATGAATGAAGGTCTTCGACCGCGTCCTACACCGCAAAAGACCTCAGCCTCACATGCTACTGCCCAACCTGTCTATGCCGTTTACTGCAGGTCTCCCTTTACCTGTCAGCTGAGCTGTCAAATATTGGATTTGATCACTTCAAAATTTCAGTGCTATGAACCCGTCGAAACAGAAAGGCCTTACTTACAATTCTTAAAACTGCATCTTTATGATCGCCGAGATCTTTGCAACCTTTGGACTGAAAAGACGAAAGGAACACACACATCCCAAAAGCCTTTTGGTTGTGTGTTCTGTTTCATCTGCAGGGAGGATTTTTTTTCACATGGAGACCTATTTGGTGTGACTGCTATTTAGTTATTATTTCAAAAGCTTATTTTTGTGTACACTTAGGTTGTTTTATATTTAAAAAATTATCTTGATCTATAAGGGAAGAGATACTTTTTTCACAGCACTCTACAAGACACACATGGACATTACATCCATACAAAAATATACACACAGTTCTCAGTAAAACCAGGAGAGGGCGCTGTGACTCCATGGTAAGTCACTTGTGTTAACTGACAATTTACTCAGGAGTTAAGCTTGTGTTCAAACTAAAGTTGCTCAACAAGCTTTTAGAGGAGCATCGTCTTTGCCATAGTTTTGGCAGGTAGACTAATTAACATATGACATAACTATTTCACTTAAGAGTGTATATATGCATTTTATACGTTGCACACACACACACACACACACACACACACACACACACACACACACACACATATATATATATATATATATATATATATATATATATATATATATATATATATATATATAGAGAGAGAGAGAGAGAGAGAGAGTGTTATGAGATATAAAAATATCTCTTTTTCTCTGTCATAAAAAGATA